ATCGTTGGACAGTGAGCTGAGGTCTTCTTCGCACAACTCAACAGACAAAAGTTCAAGGCAACCCTCTTTCGGTATCCGGTGGGGCATTCTACGGATCCCTTTCTCAAACGAATTGAAAGACGTGCCAGTATCTTCATATCTACCTTTTGCTTGGATTTGGCTCTTGCGTATCACATTTTCGGCGTATAAAATTTAAAATTAAAACTTTTTAATCTGAATGGACGTCTTTGAACTTTCTTACTAGTAATTCTAGGCAGTTTATCTTTTTGAAGGTTTTTACTGCCTACCCACAAATAAAGGCTTATTATAATCATAACTTCTCATTAGACATTATGTCTTCTCAATTTAAGAAATTGGTTGAATCTACAGGATATTGTATTTCAGAAAATTGTTGAGTTGATAAATAATAACAAATATTACTTGAAATCTGGTACTATTCGCCGGAACTTCGCCTGCCCTGAGACAGTCTATTTACAAGGAACAAGAGAGGCGAACCAATGGGCTGGATTACACTACTCTTTCTCATGCTATTCTATTTGGTTTAGGGAGATGACTGGATTGGTAACTGAATTTTCCACATTGGTTGCTTCATCGACAATCCTCCCACAGAATATTGTATGGAAAATTTCTTGACTGCAAGGACTATTAGCAAAAATACAAAGGAAAGACTGGAAGAACAACCAGCACACGGATGAAAAAACACCGGAGACTATGCAGAAAAATGAATACAAAAAGATCTGAAATGGATTAACGCATCGCTCTTACCGGTGACCAGAGTGCAACGGAAAGATTGGCCTCATATTTGAGAGAAGGCTAGAAAACGGAAGATCACGGAAGCTGTGGATATCATCTTTCAAAGAAACCTGATGAAGAGAAAATTAGAAGGGGGAAGAGTGAGCGATAATTTCGTGTAAAGTATGGGCAGACAAGGGTATTCAACGAAGAGATAAAAAAGAGCACCCTTGGACCCAGGATAACGGTTCAACAAAGAGTAGAGACATCACCAAGGAGCGGCTTATGAAGGGCAAATGGAAATCAAGAAAACGCGATTGCAGTGAGGAGAGTCAAAATTGGAATCGTTCAAAAATTTAGCCTGGGCGATGTGGGATGTGGGATGGAAAATTAAAGGCTAAGGGTATAGGTGGGCCAGATATAGGAGATCAGAGTGTGTATGTGTGTGCTTTTATGCATTTTTTCTGTCTATGCCTTAGGAATAGGTGACTGGTGGCATGCTTGACCACTCGGGATACTAACCAACACACACATGAACGTCCTTGAATCATAGGCTTAAATGGGGGTGTCAACTTGAACGACGAGAGGAGCGTGCTAATTCCGATTTAGGTGGAATTCAGCGGTGCATTTTCGCACCAGCGGTCATTACTTAAGCCGGACAGAAGGCCTCAAAGAATCCGACAAAAAGTAGGTGGGAATGAGGAAGAGGATAACCGACTTATGGGTTTGAAGCCTAGTGAGGGGAAGATTCCCATGCACCGAAATGGGCATCAGCTGCTCTAAATCCTCGAATATGGCGTAATCGGGGAAGGGAATTGTAGGTTCTTAGGCAGCCAGGTTTCAGATAGTGGGACAGCGAGTTTTATGTCTATCAGCGACCAATTGACAAACGGGCTAGGCGTAAGGGGGCAGGTTGTAAGTCCGGAGC